TGTTTTTTGGATGAGATTTACATTAAAATAGTGGACTTTAAGTCAAGCAGATTAATCTTTATAGTGTGGGTGGGCCTCATCCAATCAGTTGAGGGCCTAGATAGAACAAGAAGCAGACCTCCTCCCAGCAAGAGGAACTCCCCAGCAGACGGCCTTTGGACTTCACCTGCAACATTGCTCTTGCATTCGGCTGCCTTTGGACTTGCCCTGGAACTATTTCCTGACTGCAGCCTGTCAGCCTCCCCTATCAGATTTTGAACTTGTCAAGCCTCCACACTCACATGAGCCAACTCCTTAAAATAAATCTCCCCTTATAGATACCTATTGGTTCTTTTTCTCTGAGTGATACACATTGCATTATGTATTTTAAATATATTAATTTTTTTATTTATCTGATATTGTCAATAAGCCTATGATGTTTGAACACAGTGCTTTAAGTGGTATTACTATTTCCCAGGTAAGGGAATGAGATAAAGCGATTTGCCGGAGATCTCCCAGCTAGTAGGTGGCGGAGCCATGATTCTAACCCCCTAGTTCGTGGCCTGCGTCACTTTACCGCACTAGCCAGCCCTTGACATGTTTCGGTGTTAGTGATACTGAACAGGCTCAGCGCCAGCCCATCTGGACTCTGTCTTTGATCCAGACCTTTCCTCCTGTCAGGGGCTCCTGAGAGTCTGCGTGGTGTCTGCCTGGGAGCCTGCCACACCTGACCCTCTCTGTCCCCTCAGGCACGACTCTTCACTCGCTGGGCCTCCGCTTCCGCTTCTACAATAGGAGGACAGTCGCCTTCCCGCTCATGTGAAGATGAAATGCGAGTGCATCGCGTACCTGTCTCACTGTGGGTGCTCCTCCCCTTCCCATCATGCTCTTGGAGGACTAGAAATGACAGCAGTCACTACAGCTGGGTCTCCTTATAGAGGGAGTCCCTCTGAATGCCACTGTCGTCATCTGCCAGGCTGGTTGGTGGCTTAAACAACAGACATTTATTTCTCACAGTTCTAAAGGCTGGAAGTCCAGCATCAAGGTGTCAGCAGGTTTGCTTTCTTCTGAGACCTCGGTCTCCCTGATCTGCAGATGGTCGCCTTCTCGGTGTGTCCTCACGTGGCCTTTCCTCTATGTGCACACCCCTGGCGTCTCTCTGTGTGTTCAAGTTTTATCTTCTTAAGAAGACACCAGTCAGATGGGATTAGGGCCCATCCTAATGGCCTCATTTTAACTTGGTCACCTCTTTAAAAGGCCCTGTCTCTACGTGGAGTCACATCCTGAGGTACTTGGGGTAAGGGCTTTAATACATGGATTTGGAGGGGGATATAATCCAGCCCTTAATACCTCTTACCCTTCAGGGGTCAAGGTTTTGCTACCCAGGGCCCCCCATCTGTACCTCTCACTGTTGAGATGATGCACAGGCCCTTTTCTGCCTGGCTGTTCCCTCAAGCTTTCTGCCAGTTTGGCACCATTTCTTTAGGACTGTGCTAAGAGACTAGCTTAGCTGATCAGAAATTAAAGGCAAGAAGCTCACTCAAGTTCTATGAAGTTGTCTTTGTCTAATGGTTATGGGAAGCCAATCAGAGCAAGTGTCAGGCACATAGGAATTGCTTCATATTCTCAATCTGTAAACTGTACCTCCAATCCCACCCCACCCCCCAACCACCAAACACACACACACACACACACACACACACACACACATGCACACACACTAGAAAAATACTCCAGGAACAGGGAGGCATTTTGAAGTATACTTCAAACAATAATTGTGTGTGTGTGTGTGTGTGTGTGTGTGTGTGTGTGTGTGAGTGAGAGAGAGAGAGAGAGAGAGAGAGAGAGAGAGAGAGAGAGAGAGAGAGAGAGATGTTTAGGAAAGTAGGGTCTCATGGTACAAACACAGTGACTTAGAAGAAGCTCAAGTGACCCATGTCCTAGGAAGAGGGCAAAGGAGGGCAGGTACCAGACCCTGGAGCCCTCTGGGGTTCCCCGAGGCCCATTGTGAAGACTTACATCATGTCAGCGCAGTAGTCAGTTATTGAAAAATCTCACTTCCTTTGGCTGGTCGCCTGCTCCCAAATATGCATGACCCATTTTGGAGAACAAATGGATTTCCCAACGCCAAGAATTAAATTTTACAAAACTAGATAAAACATAGACCTCTGCTTTATGTCATTTGCCGTCACTTCATGAAGATGTAAAACCAAATCACTAAAGAGGAAAGTGCAAAGAGAATAATTGGACATTTTGGAGGAAAAAAGGAAACCTACAGGAAAAAGACCAGAGTCTGGGACGTTGTCTCCTCTCCCCGTGACCCCCCCCCACACACACCTTTTTTCTTTTTTGTCTGTTAAGTGACATTTAGAGTGCAGACTTCTAGAGCTGAACTTAAACAAAGAATAAAGGGAACAGAAAATCAATGGGAAACACGTCTTAATGAAAGCTTTTCTGAAACAGTCCCAGAGACCAGAAGGGACGCATTCTGTATTGGATTTCTGAAAGTCGGCAGAAAGGACCGGAGCTCGTCAGGCAGTGATGGATGCCCGCCATCCGCGGCACGGCCACCCCTTTCCTTCCTGGAAGGCTCAGGCCAGTCCTGCCTCCTTCAGCAAGCTCTCCATCACGTTCATGCAGTCAGGACTCCAAATGGAGCATGATTCTAATGTTAATAGCTATTCCAGGTAGAACTGATTCGCATGATGCAGGAGCTTGGCAGCTGTTTAATTACTTTAGGGTAATGATGCAAATCTCAGCGAGGGGCCGGTTTTGGCATTGAGGGCTATTATGTGTGATAATTAATATGATTAAGTGTGCTGCTTTGCAAACTCTTTTATTCCCCCTCTCTGTCCTATTATGTGGGGCTTGTCTTCTGAAACCATTGTTTGAGCAAAATTTCCTTCCCCTCGTTTCCCTCTGTAGGGCAGGATATGTTTCTGAGAACACAGGTATCTTTATTTATTGGCCAAACATATCTTCTGGAGACTTTTTGCAGAGATAAAGCAAGAGGAGGGTCTTATTTGCTTCCTTTGTCCTTCTCTTGTTTCCTTCTTTCCTTGCTTGCTTACTGTTTGCTTTGGCTGCCTTTCCCACTTTGTGTAATTTTATGGCTCTTCAAATGAATTCAAGTTTCCGAGCGCAGATGCGAGGCGGTTTGCCAATAATAATTACTAACTTACGTTTTGATTGTTTGCTGTGTGCCAGCAATCACTGTAAGTGCTTTCTTCGGCTTACTTCATCTCATCCAGATAACTGTATCATTTCCATTTTCCGGATAAAAATAAGAAAGTTTATACAGACTAGGCTTCTTGTCCGTGGGAGCAAAGCTTGTAAACGATGGCACAGGGAATAAAATTGAGGTGGTCCCTACACTGGGAGCTCTTCCATACTAACTTCTATGAAATCTGGTAGTTGTGAAAATAACCTCTCTCTTTCTGAAATAATAGTCATTTGTACAACTGATCTCCTGCAATGTACATATGTTGAGGGTTTATTTTGTGCCCAGACCATGTTGGAAGCTCAGGGCACAAGACACAGCCCCTGCCCTCAAGTGGTACCGTAGCACGAGGTAACTGCTATGATGGGAAATCACAGAAAATATTGTTTAAAATAATGTGAATATGTCAGTCGTAGGAATGTAATGTGTGCCTGAAAAATTCCAGTTAATTCTAGTCACTGGATTACTTCTGGCAAAAGACTGAAGATAAACCAACGGATATTACATAGACAATACCCTTACTATCATCGAACATTAACAATCACCGAACATATCCAGGGGTCGGGGGAGGGTTCCTAGAATCACATAGACTGACTTCAAGTTTTTATTGGGTTCCTGATTAGCTGTGTAACCTTCAGCATTTTACTCGCACTCTCTGAAAGGGGATGGGGGTTTAGCCTCCTCTGGCTGTTTAGACCAGGGACAACAAACTTTCCTAAAGAGAAAGATAGTAAATATTTTAGTCTTTGCTGGCCACGCGATATCTGTCACAACAGCTCGACTCTCCCACAGTAGCACAAAAGCAGCAGGACAATATGTAAATGGTCAGGCGTGGCTCTGTTCCAACGACACTTCATTTATAAAAACAGATGGCTGGACCCAGGCTCAAAACATGAAGTGAGACGTGAAAAGGAAGAGCTGGCCAGGTGGCTCAGTTGTTTGGAGTGTTTTCCCGTACACCAAAAGGTTGCAGGTTTGATCCCCAGTCGGAGCAAGGGCGAGAGGCAATCAATCAATGTTTCTCTCTCTCTCTCCCTTCCTCTATTTCTGAAAATCAATGAAAACATATCCCCAGGTGAGGATTTAAAAAAAGAAAGGAAAGAAAACCCCAATATATATAAAGGTCTTTGGTTAACTGCAGAGGCTCAGAGACTCAATCATTGTTCAATTTTCCTCCTTCTTGCAATTTATTCCATTAGGCTGACGGGCCACAGAGATGCGCACAAACACTGTATCTCTCTTGAGGGTCTCACTGCCCAGTTGTGGCGACAAGACATAGAGAATATAGAGAGAGCAATACAATTTTGCAAGTGTCAATCATAAAGGAAACAGAGCAATTCACGTAAAGTCATAGGAATTGTGTGAAGGGAACAGCTGCCCCTGGAGAGATGGTGATGGTTACGTGAGGAAAGAAGGACTTCCAGGTGACTCAGAGAAGGGGGTGTGCTACGTATTTTCAGAGGAAGCTGAGCGGAACTGTCTGCAGAAGAAGGGGTGCCTCTGAGGAGTGAGTGGAGGCCACAGTCAGGAGGGGAGGGAGAGGTTCCGGAGTCCATTTTATTCTGTAGATGTCAGTCTGTGTGCTACTGAGGGTTTCGAAGATGACCGAGGAGACACTCCACAGATATTTGTTGAACAACTTGATGCATCTGAAGGGATTTGCATGAGGGCTGGGGAGAAAGTGTCCGCAAAAGACGAGGGATGAGGATTCAGACCAGGGTAGCGGCAGTTTGAATCGGCAGGAGGGACATTCGGAAAAGACATGGTGAAGGGAGCCTTACAGGACTTGACGACTGAGTGCAGGTAACAGAGGGGACTGGTTAGAGATGAGGCTGACGTCTAAGTCGGGTGGCAGGCGAACAGGGTGGCTGCTGATAGAATAAAGGATGTCAGAGAGGCAGCTTTGTGGAGGAAGTATCATAAATGAAGTCTTAAGTGCTTGACTTCAGAGTCCCTGAAGGACATCCAAGGGGAAATGGTTAGTTAGTACAATAACGGGGGGTCAGGAAAGAAAGGCATCTGGAAGCAGATATTCGGGGATCAGCCTCGGAGAAGTGATGGCTCAGCAGAATGGGCGAAGTGTTGATACTGGGCCAGGTCTGAAGATCAAAATAAGGACGTGGTGTAGGGACAATAGCCAGAGGCAGAGCTCGCCTTAGGAACCCCAAAGCATCTCTCTAGTTCATCCCAGATATTAGACAAGAAAAGCTCCAAGAGACTGGGAAGGTCCTACAGCACTTTTTTTTTTAAAAAAAAATCTAAAAACAACTATCAGTAAAATAATTAAATAAACCCCGAGATGCTGATGTTAAGGAACTTTCCCCATACAATCCCTAAGAAAAGACACCAAGTGCGAACTCCTGAACTATTTAAGTTCTGATACCTAGACCTACTATGGTGCAATCCCACCAACTTCAGTTACTCCAAGGCTGAGAAACGTGTCAATAGTAATGACCAAACAACTCTAAGACAGTCTCAGCACATTTCCAAATTTCAGCTACTACTTAGCAAAGCTGCTTTCAGATACAGATCCTAATGTATTGCTTTGTGAAATAGCAAAGCGTGTGGTAAATCCTGAACAATTCTCAGTAGGTCTCAAATTGAGCCATTTCTCTTGTCTTGCACCTGCCTCTTGTTTCTTCTTACTGCTCCTGTGAGGAAGGGAATTCCCCTTGACTAGGAAGAGAAGTGGTTCATGGAGCAAGAGCAAGAGAAATGGATCCTTCTAGAATAGCGTTGTCATTATATTTCCTCTAAGTAAAATCAGAAAACTGTTACTCAGAGGCATTTACAAATCTGGCTTTGCTAGACACCAACTCCCTAGTAAAGTGGTGAGTGGTGGAGAAAGTGTTGCCATCTAAAATAGTTTTTGAAGGGGTTGTTCATTTTCTACTTGCCACCCACCTATTTCTTGAAGCCAGTGAAATGCATAGTACTTATGTCACTGCAGGGCCAACAGTCTTTCTTGGGAATACATAACAGTGAACAAACAAACAAACGTAGTATTTGTAAATCTAGCTCCAGAGCTTGCCAAGTCCATATTTCTAATTTTTCAAAAAAGACATTTTTTAAAAATAATTTTTAACCTTTTTTTATTGATTTTTAGAGATGGAAAGGGAGACAGAGAGAAAGAGAGAGAGAAGCATCAATGTGAGAGAGAAATATCTATGGGCCGCCTCTTGCATGCATCTCTACTGAGGGTCAAACCCATAACCTGGGTACGTATGTTCTCTGACCAGGAATGGAACCCACCACCTTTTGTGTATGGGATGACGCTCCAACCAACTGAGCCATACTGTCTCAGGCTATTTCTAACTTTTTTAAGAGTGAAAACTCAGACCCAGAGAGGATAAATGACTAAAACTGACTTGGCAAGCAAGCCAGAGAATTTGGTCGAGAACTCGAGTCCTGTTCCCAGTCCTGGAAGTTAAGTACATCTTTGTTAGAGATGCACTTTGGCCAGGGGTGGATTCTCATTTCCCTGCGGGAATTGGTAAAGAACGTGTAAGCCATAACCACCAGAAACACTAAAAAAGAAGGATTTGTGTTGAGAATGCATGCACCATGCCTATCTCTTAAGGACACATTTTAAGGGTGAGAGCAGTGTCAGAAAGCTTTGCTAGGGACCTGGTCGCAGGGGGCAAAAGCAGAAATCCTAAGAGAGCAAGGCCTAATCCCTTTCACTGGGAACACTGAGGGGACCCAGAGGCAGCCCTGAAACCTTCCTTTTTAAAGCAGTTATCTGCAGACATAATGCCCTTAGTTTGATCAAAGGGCCGGGCCACACAATCCCGGGGAACAGGAAGGCTGACAAGGGGGGAGGGCCCTTTGTCTGATGCCTGGAGGCCTGGAATCCGGATGCCTTGGGGGGCGGGGCTGCTGGCCATTGGGGAGGGGCGGAGGCCCTGCCTGTCCCTTGCATTCCTCCCCGCTGCCCTCCGCTGGGCTGGTCTCCCACATCGAGAGATGGGTCTGAGCCCTGCCCACTCCCCACCCTGTCTCCTATCAGTTTCCTTCAGCACATAAATAAAAAGAATCCCCCAGCCCCATACGCTTGGCTTGAACTTCTGTTGTTTAATTCTGCCATCAGCAAAGGTAAGCGCCCCAATTTAACTCTGAGTCTTCCTCCCACCATGTGGTTTCCTAAACAAATAGTTCATGTACCTTCAGGTCACATTCTTGACCTGTTGATTCAGGTGCCTGATAATTTTGGGCTAATAACAGTCCAGCAATCACACTGGTCACAGCTCCCCCATCCTGCAGGCTCCCCCTTTCCTCTGTCCCTCAGCAGCTTTCCCTGGGCCCATGTTTTTTCCCCCTGGCCTCTTCCCCATTAATTGCTCTCTCCCTGCAGCCTTTCTTTATCAGAGTGTCTGCTCTGAAGGCTTACACTTCAGATTCCTGCCCCTGGTGCCCTTGGCCTGTTCATTATTTAATTTTTTCCCAGTCCCCTGCCTGTCAGGCAACGTCTGCACACTGTGATGGTTTTCATGTTTGAAAGTCTCCAAATGCAGATTGCAGCCCTGTAGATAAGCTTTAAAAAAATTATGATTGCAGACGTGTGCGCGCGCAGACACACTCACACACACACTCACACACACTCACACTCATGCACAGGAGTTAGAAAAATGTGCTTTGGACCCACCCACATTCTTAGAAGCACAGAATTTCAATGATGAAAGGGCCTTATGCACTGCCCTTTGGCCCTGACAGCAGCAGGACTGTGAATGCCCGCTCCCCTGATTGGCAGGTGGTTGGGAAGGGTATCCAGCCAGCCAAACAAATACATAGAGAGTACCTTCTGGAGACGTGAACTAAACTGGCTGAAGGCATTGGAGAGATCCAGTCTGGCTGAGGGGCTGGATTATCACAGACTGAGGTGACACTCTCTGAGAGGAGCTAGCATTGTTGTGAAGTCAAGTCCGAGTAGTCAGGAAAGAAGAGAACAGACTGGGCCTCTGAGGATGAGTGACATTTGGATTTAGGAAAATTCTTCCTCTGATTTTTTTTTTAATTCCTACCCTTCAGATATATTCAGCATTGTTATGGGCCAAGTTGTGTCCCCCAAAATTTATATGGGGTGTCCTAATCCCCAGTACGTCAGAATGTGACTGTATTTGGAGACAGGGTCTTTTAAAGAGTTAAATAAAACAGAGGTATTTGGGGGTAACCCACTATGACTGGTATCCTTGTAAGAAGAGGAAATGTGGACACAGGCACACAGAGGGAGACCAGGTGCAATCGGGAGAAGGTGGCCCTCGGCTAGCTAAGGAGAGAGGCTTCAGATCAAACCAGTCCTGCCCACGCCTTGATCCCAGACTTCCCGCCTCCAGAGCTGTGAGAAAGCACATTTCTGTTGAAGCCACCCAGGCATGTGGTGCTTTGTCACGGCAGCCCTAGCGGACTAACACAAGCACTGAGATCTCAAGGTGGCATTAGTCCTAGATGGAAAGTGAAATTTATCAGAGGCCGATTTCTGGGCAGGAAGTGGTTCTTCTGTCCCTGTGTGGGCTTCCAGGCACTTAATTCTTATTGGTTGACAAGCAGTAGATGTTCACCATGTGCTTACTGGGCACCTACTTCGTGACCATCACTGCGCTAGGCCAATAAACAGACTCAGAAGCCCGTGACTGTGTCTCGGTGCTGGATGAGGTTAGCATCTCCAACTGGCCACTGAGGCATGATGACGGGTCCCCAATCCATCTCCTCCCTAGGACCTAATGGCTACACTGTCATAAGACTTTTCTTCTTTGGTTACTAGACTTATTCCTAAAGTGTTAGGCTTGTGTAGGTCAAAAAAATTGAGCTAAATGCAATGTGGCTTGCTGGGTTGCATCCTGAAACAGAAAAAGGACATTAGTGAAAAAACTGAGGAAATCCAAATGGTGTAGTTCAGCTAATAGTAATTTACCATTACTATGAATTTCTTAGTTTGCCAAACGTACCATGACATATAACATGTTGACATTATGGGGAAACTGGGTAAAAATATACAGAAACTCTTTATATAATCCTTGCAACATTTTTATAAATCTAAAATCATTCCAAAATAAAGTGGGGTTTTTTAATATTTGAATATTGGCAGTTTTACCAATAGATTAAAGCCCAGAAGCATTGTATATTAAACAGGCTGATTCAACCTTTTAATGATACAGTGGTAAGATTTATGTTTTAGCTGTAGATATTTTCAAGTGATTGGTTCACTATTTGTACCTTGCAGTTCAGACCCTGGATGCCTGGTCATCTAGGTAAGAGTGAGAACTAACTGAGTTGACCTTCATAAAGAGAGACCCCAACTGGCCAGCATGGCTCAGTAGTTGAGTGTTGACCTATGAACCAAGAGGTCACGATTCGATTCCTGGTCAAGGCACTGGGGCTCTATCCCCAGTAGGGGGCGTGCAGGAGGCGGCTGATCAATGATTCCCTCTCATCTTTTTTTTTTTTTTTAATAATATATTTTTATTGATTTCAGAGAGGAAGGGAGAGGGAGAAAGAGATAAAAGCATCAATGATGAGAGAGAATCATTGATCGGCTGCCTCCTGCATGTCCCCTACTGGGGATCGAGCCCACAACCCGGGCATGTGCCCTTGACTGGAATCAAACCCGGGACCCTTCAGTCGCAGGCCAATGCTCTATCCACTGAGCCAAACTGGCTAGGGCTAAACTCAGTTTCTTGAGGACTCTATGCTGTTGGAATGACTGATTCCCTTTGTCCTTCTTGGCAGTCAGTGGACACTCAGCATGGTCTCATTCCAGGAGAAATGATGGCATTCAACCCCCTTCATCAGCTGAGGATGCCTCCTCTCTCCCCCACCAGGTCACAGGAAGACAGAAGGATTGTGCTCTATCCATTGGTGGTGTGTGTGTGTGGGGGGAGGGGGGCAGGCAGGGCAGGTCTGGATTCTCATTTTAGAGGCAGTTTCCCATTCTACCCCTGGAACTAGTAAATTAATCCTAATCAAATTGATACTACACAAGAGACTTGTTTTGTTTGGCTGACAAGCATTTAAACATTTTAAGAATTCTTTGCAGCAGTTTTGAATTGGGAAGCTTCACACAAGTATCTGGGTATTTGGCCTCTTTTGAACTATCAGAAAGTCTAGGAACAGAGACCTACGCTCATAAGGTAAAGCTGGGTTGGAACCGAGTAGCCACTGTAACTTTCCAAGGGGCCATGTCCTCTCCGTTTCCCACCGTTCCCACACAGCCCTTCTATCCGTTTATGTAACTTGCCCAACAACTTTAAGCATTTAAGTTTGCAACCCTGGTCTAGATCATTGTCTTTCAAACTCCAGGTCATGACTTCTTTGTGGGTCATGAAATCAGTGCAGTGGGTAACCTACACTAAAGAAGGAAAAGAAGGAGGAAGAGGGGGAATAGAGAGAGGAGGACATAGAAACTTCAGAACAGATCACCTGTAGTCAGGGTGAGTGTTACTTTGTGGAGCTGTTGTCTCAATTGTATTTGTGTGCTTGCACAAGGCCCTCACAATGTAAAACAGGGGTCCTCAAACTACGGTCCGCGGGCCACGTGCGGCCCGCCGAAAACATTTATCCAGCCCTCCAGGTGTTTTTGCCGCCGCTGTGTGCATAGGAATTTGTTCATAGTTTTTTTTTAAACTATAGTCCAGCCCTCCAACAGTCTGAGGGACAGTGAACTGGCCCCCTGTTTAAAAAGTTTGAGGCCCCCTGATGTAAAACATATTTCCGTCTGTGATTTGCAATAAAAATGTTTGAAAGCCAAGACTGATGAAAATTTAAATAATCCAACCTTTTGGTTAACCAGTTAGTTTGCCATGTTTGCTTACTGCTTTTGTTTTGTTTTCCTTTACAAAGGAGGGTGGGAGGGATATTTGTTATATAAGCAAAACCACAGAATTTATACAAACATGATAATATGGATCCCTATTAATGCTGTAGAACAGTGATTTTCAACCAGTGTGCCTCAAGAATTTTTAAAACATGTGATACTTGACTATTTAGTCAGGAATGCTGACCTCTTTTCCCTTAGATGGTCAAATGAAAAAATGACAACAGCCAATACAACAATAGCCATCTTGTGAGAATGAAATCAAAATTGTACTTTTTTTTTTTGTCAGATCAGCAAAAAATATACTTTTTGGTGCGCCTCAGAATTTTAGTAATTAGTTTATGTGTGCCATGAGATGAAAAAGGTTGAAAATCGCTGCTGTAGAAGGTTTGTAATAACAAAAATTAAAGCATCTAATTGAAATTAAAAAAAGAGATAAATCTTCTTGGTGTTTCTAAGACCTATGATCCACCAGATTGCATAGTTGTATGATTCTAAGTTAGACCACATTAAATAATAATTAGATTTATTTGCATAGGTTACTAGGGTAATGTAGCCTCTAGACTAGATCAGCACTGTCCAGTGGTACGCTCTGTGACGGTGGAAGAATTCTGGGTCTGCCCTGTGTAATTTGGTAACCACTAGCCGCAGGCACCGGTTTAGGACCTGAAATGTAGCCAGTGTGACTAAGGACCTGGATTTTTAATTTCAATGGATTTAAACTCAGGGAACCACATGTGGGCAGTGGCTGCCATATTAGACAGCACAGTTCTGGATTCTGGAACTAGTATGTGGAAAACAGGATGCCTCTGTTTCTTGTTTTCAGCACTAGGATGCCCCTTGGTCTGACAAAACCATCCTACGCGGGCACTGCACACCGAAGCCCGAGGGAGGCTAAGATCCAGTCTGCTGGGCATAGTTCACTTCTTTTGGTCCCGGTTATTGCGAGACACAAATGATCCAATTTGTAAGTGGGGACCCTCTAAATTCTTATCCCCATGGTGTTTGGTTCTCAAATTAAAAATTGCTTGAGGCAGATGGTGTGATTTTGAACTATGAAGATTAAAAACTATCACTATTACTTAATTGTAATAATAAAAGTCATAAAATAGTAATAAGATTAGCAGCCACTTATGAAGCGCTCACTGTGTACCTGGCGCTGCGGTAAGTACTTTGTATACTGTCGCCCACTAACTCACCTTCATCCTGTGAGATGAGGGGTATCAGCCTATATAAGGAAACTGACACTTGTGAAGGTTAAGTGGCTTATGAAGTCACTCAGGTAGCGAGTGAGTGAGCCACAGTGTGAATCCAGTTCTGTCTGTCTACATACAAAGCCCCTACTGTCATCACCGCGGGGTCCTGGATGGTGCTAACCAGTTGCTTTTCCCATCAGCCCATTATTTCCTTGATAAACTTGACCGAGATGAGCTGTTAATGGCAGTGCCGGGACCAGGGCCTGGCTCCCGTGACTCTGAGGTGAGGACCCTCCCTGCAGCTCCCTGTGATAGATGCTGCTTTGGCCACTTTGTAGGAAGCACTTTTTCATACTCTGGGGCCTCCTTCCTCCATAATAGGAAGAATGTCTTGCTCTGTTGGTCTAAACACAAAAACCTTAATATTCCATAGGAAACCATTTTCTCTACCTACATGCTTTTTTTAAAAAAAAATTCTAGTTTTAAATGGAAACATTTTTATGTGCCTGTGGTAGGCAGAATAATAACCCCTCCCCAAGATGGCCACATCCTAATCCCCAAGACATGTGGATATGTGACTTTATGTGGCCAACAGAACCTTGCAGATGTGAGTAAGTTAAGAATCTTGAGATTGGAAGGTTCCCCTGGACTATTCGAGCGGGCTCAGTAGAATCCCAAGGGTCCTCAAAGGCCAGTCAGTGAAGGAGATGGGAGGACAAAAGCAGGAAGTGAGAGTGATGTACCTGAGCCAGACGACTGGCTTTGAAGGTGGAGGGGCCCCCAAGCCAGGGAATGCAGGCAGCGTGGCGCCTGGCACCACCAATGTGCAATGAAGGAAAGACAGGGATCAGAATTCTTTGCACACGTCCAATGAATCATGGGATTAAAAGTGGCTCTGAAAGAGACATCTTAGTGCCCCTTCTCCTCCTAGTCACCCACTATTTCCCCCAGAATGTCCAGCACCAATGAAACTCTGGGCTGAAACTGTTTGCTTTCACCGGTGTTTGTGCTTCTGAGGCTCTGCAGACCCTACGTTTAGAAGAGGGTGATTAGCCTCTGGGGCAGGGGCCCCAATAAGAAGAGAAATGGGGACTGAGAGGACAGAGGAACCGAGGGGCACAAACAGGCCTAAGGTGCCAAGAAGGGAGGAATGAATGTAAAAAAGAGGACCGTAAAAATAAAAAGAGATGTTCCCAGAAAAGACGAGGGAAGGAAGGAAGGAAGGAAGGAAGGAAGGAAGGAAGGAAGGAAGGAAGGAAGGAAGGAAGGAAGGAAAGAAAGAAGGGAGGGAGGGAGGGAGGGAGGAAGGAAGGAAGGAAGGAAGGAAGGAAGGAAGGAAGGAAGGAGGAGGGAGGAGGGAGGGGAGGGAGGAGGAAGGGAGGAGGAGAAGGAGGGAGGGAGGGAAGAAGGAAGGGAGGAAGGAAGGGAGGGATCTGGGATTTGAAGGGCTTCAGAAGGAAAGGTAGGGGAAGAAGAGAGACAAAAAACAAAAGCAGTAGTGGGTCTACTGGTAAAAGTAAACCTCCTTTTTCTCCATGATTGACGCTGAGTGCAGAGCTGAATTTCACTGACCAGAGGCCATCTGCAACCATCAGTCCAAGCCTCACGCTGCTAGCCATAGTCAGGGGCGTTGCAGCCTGAGAGAGGAAGGGGCTCCATATGGTCAGAGGCTATTGCATTGTCTTGGATATTTTAACACAATGCTGCTATTGACATCCAAGTGGCTCCTTAGGACCCATGTTCACTGCCTGAGCGCAGAGGCCCCAGCTTCAGTCTCAGGCCATTTTTGCAATTGTTTGAACTAGTTACTTTAAGGGGAGTTGGCCCTATGCCCAAATTTGTACATGATTTCTATATTTTCTAGGGCATGGATTACCATTTAGTTTAATGCCCATAGCCAATTGGTTCTAGGTGATCTTTTCACCTCTTAATGTCACATCATAAAGAACTTCAAAAAGAAAAGAAGATATTTCTTTAAAGCATATTGAATATGAATATATTGAATATGGAAGCATTTTGTGGGCATTTGCATATATATAGGAGGCTTCCACATTCAAGTTGCAGGAAACCAAGAACAAAGCATTGCAAGGTGTTTTCCAATAATCCAGATCCCCTCTTTCATTTCAAAGAGCACACCTCACAGTAAGATGTATTTCAATAGCTTCTTAGATGATTAACCAACTACATGTAAATGGGCCCGTCTCCTGTGGTTTTTAATTTTGCCTCTTTCAGTTGATTTCTACACTTATAGTCACTCATATTTATAAGCTTTACCCAGAAAACTTTTAAACCGAATTTTCCCGTGTGGCTTTCCATTGTCCTCTCCACATGTGCTTGGTGTGCTGATATTCCCCAGGGCTTGGGCTTTCCGCTTGCTCCATTCTTTCTCCCTCAGGTGATACCGGGTGGTCTCAGCCATGTCTGGCCTCTAGTTATCATGAACAGCTCTGTTTTATGTTTTTCACACGGTTCACTTTGCCGCCTTGGCTCAGGGACAGAGATATTATTCCTTTCTCTTTCTCCTCCTCCTCCTCCTCCTCCTCCTCCTCCTCCTCCTCCTCCTCCTCCTCCTCCCACTTCCTCCTCCTCCTCTTAATATGCCTTGTTATTTTTCATTGAGGATGGCATTTAAGTTTTGTCATCTTAGGTGTCAACTCTGTGCATAGTTGAGCAAACAGGACAGCAAGTTACAGGACTTCTCCATTCTTATTTTTTTTTAAATAAGAGCTGAACTGTACTAGCCAGAGGCCATCTGCAGCCTGAAGTTAGAGGACAGAGAGTGGATATGTTCTCATCTTCTCTTAGACAACTTATTTAACAGATACTGATGCTGTACTTACCATATGCAAGGCACCCGTGCTCAGCGCTTTCCAAACACTGATGAACTCAGTCCCCAGGACAGCCCTCTGAGGCTGGGGTTATTATTCTTCGTATTTTGTGGTTGAGGAGATGGGGCACAAGGTGAGTCACTTGCATGAAGTCACAGCTCCAGTAAGCAGGAGGGGTGGGATTCAGATCCAGACAGTCAGGTCCTGCATCCAATCCGTTACATTAGAGGAAACACGGGGCATGGTTTCCTGTTGAAGACGTCTCCGATGAGTCAGCTCAATGTTTCCAGCACCAACACCAATTTTGTCTCTGTTTACATTAGACCCAAGTGCCTTCCCCCCGACCCCCAAAGTGCTTTATGAAACGTATTACAACTCACAGCAACGGCAGAGTCCTAGAATCCTGCTCAGGTATTTTATTTGCTTCCCCTCACCCCCCCAAGTCAGACGGGCTGAGTTCATCATTCTGGGAAGTCTGATGGCATTTGTGTCTGTTTTCACCATGTGACTCCCATCCCCTCCCTGGAGTCACTTTTCATGAGTTTTTTCAACATCTAAGGCCTGATTTATGTGTTGAGAGCCACACCCTTTTTGAGAAAATACACACAGATGCCATACATAAATGAAAGGTGACCTTTATCCATGACAAGAATTTTGATGAATTGCAGGAAGTCATATACTGTGCAGGGAAAATAGTCTTTGACCCACCCCCCTTTTTTTTTTCAATGTAAACCACTTCCCATGAAGAACAATCTGAGTCTAATGAGGTTCTTTTAGCGGAGACTACAAAGACCCCAGAATATCAGAGAATAATTCCTCTTTGCTGGTCTCTGATTCCCTCCTACCAATGGGGTGTGTACACTGGGGAGGCAGGAGGCTGAGGGCTCTTAGAGGGAGTGGCTAACAGCATTTAGTCAATGACTATTTCTGAGTTATAGAACCTGAGCTGGAGTCTCTATAGCAATGTTTTCAAACCCTAGACTGGGACTCCTTAGTGGACTCTGAGATCAGCACTGAAAGAAATCAAAAGATAAAAAGGTAGAGGAGAGTAGAAAACATCAGAATGCATGCCACTGAGTATGGGTAGACAGTGTTCCATGAAACTTTCCTAAATGTGTGTGTGCAGAATGTGTAGATTAAGTTGCAATGAAAAATGTATCTCTTACTTACTATGCATTCCATTCGAAACAACTTGAAATGGAATGTAGAATAGAACCAACTACAGCGTTTTCTCTACCTTCTGAGAACTTAAACTACACGCCGTAAGGGCAATTGTTAATGTTCTAAATCTATTAGGAATTTTGTGCAGGTGTCCCTACAGGGAGGGGTCAGTTGCTATAGGAGTGACTCTACCCTTCCTGCCCAGGGGAGTGCATTTCTGAGGTGAAGGCAAAGAATTCTGGGAAGAGAGGCCGAAGCTGAGGAAGACGTGAAGCAGAGCTTGCTCCAACCGCAGGGGCTGGCCGGACCAAGACCCCAGGTGCAAATGGCTGATGAAGGTACCTCGTGACAATGCGTTTCTGAACAGGTCCAGGTGTCCTCTGCTTTTCGAAAGTTCACGTTATGCCTCTTTGCTTATATAAAAAAAAACCTGCAGTAGTACCTGCTTTCTCTCACTGAGAGAAGTCCCAAGGGGATGTTCGCTTTTATGAAAAAAAGGTGGAAACAGTGGTGTGTTTGGCAGCAGCGGTCATTACAGAGGCAGCGGCACCGCCAAGCTCCTTCCCGGGAACTACACGCAGCATCTCGGCCTCAGGCCGCCAGGGCTGTGAGCAGTGTCTGCGAGCACCTGTGCTTTCCCTCCGTTTATTGTGTGCATCCCTCAGCGAGATGTGTCCTAAGAGCGCATAGGGTGTTAGGCTCAGCGGAAAACTGGATGTAATTAAGCGTTTTGATCATGATGAATGAAATGAAGACACTGCGTGCATTGGACTTGCCTTGGTCCACCTCTCCTACAATTTACACGTAGGGAGAAAGAATCTTGAAAGCTGGCTAGGTTACTATCGCTTCTGCTAGTAGCAACGTGGTCTCTCCAGCAATGGTAACATGGACAGTGCTGCTGCCTGAGTGGATTGACTGACGTACAAAGCGTGGTGTAGAGTTGTCATGTCATTCCTGCTTTTGCTATATATTAGGGTGATATTAGGTTTCGTGTGTTATTTGGTATGATTTGGGAGGTTACTTTTGGTAGGTTACATTTTGAAAATGCTCAAAAATTTTAAAATATCAATCATGTACATTAATGTTAATAGTGCCTTCCTTTCATGCCATTTCAGCGTATGAAAGGTTTCACAGGAATGCTCTGCTTTCGAATAGTGGGGGACACCCCAGGGTTCCAGGCCCATAGCAGGGCACTCAACATTGATCATGTACCTTGTTAATTGAATCCCTCCAAATGCTTTCTTGTCACATCGAAGGAGTCTACTAAGTCTCTTGTGTACAGGAGAGAACAGGGTGAGGAAATGGACCTAGAGTAGCAAACTGAGGTCTGTTGGCAAAAACTGAACCATACATGTGTTTGCTGGCCTGGTATTTTAAATATTAAGAGGTTTCCATTAAAAGTGGGATTTCTAGTTTCTCAAGAAAGGTCAAAAGGCCTGGTACCTCCGAGTCTGCACTCATGTGAAGTAACAATCAAGGGAGTGAGTAGAGAACAGGACCAACCTTCTGAGCTGTCCCATGGGAGAGCCAGCAACATATTTGGCTCTTTCCATTAAAATTAAATTCAAAGGCCCAGCTGGTGTGGCTCAGTGGTTGCGTGTTGACCTATAATCAGAACCAGGAGGTCACGATTCGATTCTCGGTCAGGGCACATGCCTGCGTTGTGGGTTTGATCCCCATTCGAGGGCATGCAGGAGGCAGCTGGTCAATGATTCTCTCTCATCATTGATGTTTCTATTTCTCTCCCTCTCCCCTCCTCTCTGAAATCAATAAAAACATGTTTAAAAAATGAAATGAAACATTCAGTTCTTCAGTGACAGTAGCCACATTTCAAGTGTTCAATAGCTACATGTAGCAGGTGTCTACCGTATCGGACCGCACAGGTATAGACCATTTTCATCTGCACAGAAAGTTCTATTCGATGGTGTTGCTTTTAAACCGTATGCTCCCACTGCTTTCTTACTGGGCCAGTGCATTCTTTTTGTTACCTGTCTCATTCTTTGGGCATTTCTATTGGCAACTTCCATAACACAATCCTTACGTTAGGTCGGTTGAAACTCTGTGACTTAATCTTGGGAAATGAAACCTATAGCAATAGATCACAGACTCACTGAAGTGCTTGAACTTCAGGGTGTGTGTGTGTGTGTGTGTGTGTGTGTGTGTGTGTGTGTGTGTGTTTGCAAAGCAAGAAGGACCTAAAAATTAGAAACTATATGTATAAATGGTGTCTTATAGAATTACTACTAGAATAGAAGAAGAGTGGGTTCGGTTAGAGTTCTTTACTACAGGAGAAAACTATAGAAACATAAACCTTATTTCCTGTTGTCTACAACTATAGATACCCAATAGAGTGAGGGGAACACAACCAAAAGGACCGAATCTTGTGAGAGTAACTAACAGCAGAGCAACAAATAACTTTCCTACCTGGGAAAAAGCTAATATTCTCTTAGGATATGTGTGGGCAGGGAAACTTCTGGCTCTGCCCATACATCACAGAACACAAGGGAGAAATGACAGCTTATTTAATCAATGTAGGAAGCAGTTGGGGCAAATCAGATCTGAGAGAATCATTTGGCTTAAATTGGCTGACAATTCTAAATTACGCATGTAATCATAAATAGCCCTATCATTTGTGCAGCACTGTCATTTAATATTTATCTTTGAACTCAACTCAGTAAACTCTCTCTCCCTCTCTCTCTCTCTCTCTCTCTCTCTCTCTCTCTCTCTCTTTCACCTTTAATTTCTAAGAGCATAATGTAGTTCTCAGAAACCTAGAAGGGAAGCATAGCTCTTTTAAAAGTTATTACATGCTAACAAATTTGGGATCCATGTTGTAATTTTGCAAATTTAAAATTTTATTTCTTCTGATTTGGTTAACTTGTCTTATACTCTCTTGCTGCGGGAATGCATGGAAAATATGAGAAGATCCTGAAAGAATTGTTTTGGCAGCAAGAACTTTTTTTTAAACCTGCGTTTGTTCATTGTCGTCACTACCTACATTTTTCCAGGTTCACATATGAAAATCATTATTCCTCACTTCAGGAAGTCCGTTTTTAAAGGTCAGTTTGGCTTCCAAAGATCCAGCACCCCGAAGAGGGTCAGCCCACACTAGGAGCCAGCAGGCAGGAGCCCTGGCCTCGGGGTAATTTGTACTTTCCTGGTTTGTTACTTCTTGGAATTTGTGCTGGAGTCTTGGGAATAGGAGCTGTGTCCCACCCAAAAGGGGATGGTCTGTCTCTAAGCCCTAAGAATCGGCTCACAAACGGGGGAGCCACACCCCCGGGCACAGCTCTATTAGTGTTCCTGTAGTCAAGACCAGATGCTCCAACCACGGTGCCTTTTATAGGGGCAGCTACTTTCTTGCCCCTGATGTGTGACCTTAAGCAAGTCTTTTAGCATCTGTGTCTGTTTACTCAGGTGTATGGAGGGTTTCAACAGAACCAGCCTCCCTTTGGGTCAATTTCAGAATCTTATGTTCTCCTTATTGGACCTGCATCATGGTCACTGCAGCATCAATCTTTAATCTAAAGCCTCAGTAGAATTAGGATCAGCGTTCTGCTTTGGGGAATTAAACAGAAAACGTTCACATTTGCACACATGGTGGGAGTTAAGTCTACTAAAGAGCCAAACACCAGCGCTCCTCCAATTGTAGTGGGCGGAAAAGTCATTTGCGGGGAGGGAGGCCTCATTTAAAATGCGGTTCCTAGGTCTCTTCCTCAGGAGATCCTATTGCAGGTTTGGGGTGGTGCTGGGGACCTGCTCTAACAACTTCACCAGGTGATTCAGTGTCCAGAGGCAATAGGAGAGATTCTGGCTCTCAGTTTTGAGATGGACAGCGAATGGACCGGTCTTGATCAGCAGGGCACTCAACATTGATC